TGAAGTTAATGATTCACTTAAATGTAAAAGAGTATAAATTTCATTCTCATTTTAAAAAACTCTTCGAATTACTGTTAAACCACTGAAGGTATCTTTATTGTACCTTTCATGCAATCTAATCATAAAATTATAATTTCTGATACAGATTCCTGAATGCTTATTGCTATATCAACCTTTATCATGCAAGATGTACCATAATACCTTACCAGTTCTTCACACTTCGTTACATCACACATCATGAATTACCTATAAACAGCCTCAATCTTTGCCACCCATGTGACAAATGCATCCATCATGCATTGCAATTTTAACGAAAGTGATCATTCACTAGCTCGGGCCGCAATTGTGCTTGTATTGTGGCCGCATTATCATTTGCTACTGAGAAGCATAACACAAACTGTCTTCGTTTAGGTTGGTCAGCCTTCATTAAAAATGGTAAGTATCTTGATTTTGAGTAATTGTTTTTGGAAGTGATTAGGTAGTTTTTTTTCATATATTTTTATTCTATAGTTGTTGCAGTTGGTATAAGAATAACGCGAATTCAATTGGTGTTATTAAGGATAACACCAATACATACCTGCAAATACGAAATGAGTTGAAAAGAAAGTACTCCTAAACCTATCGTTATGTTTTTGAAGGTTAATTCTGTGAAGCATTTCAGCCTTCCAAGAAAATCATCAAGAAAAGAGTGGCTCCTCCTCCACCTATAGCTCGAAAAGTTGAAGTGGCAAAAAAAGAGCAGAATCCATTGTTCGAAAAACGGCCGAGAAATTTCGGCATCGGTAACTCTGATTTTTTCGCTCTTATATTAGTTGGAGAAAATTTTGATGTAGTGTATGAAGTACTAGCTAATGTAATACGAGTATTGGAGCAATATGTATTGTTTCTAGGTCAGCATATTCAACCAAAACGTGATCTAACACGTTTTGTCCGATGGCCCAAATACATTCGTTTACAACGCCAGAAGGCTGTTTTGATGAGACGTTTGAAAATTCCACCACCAATTAATCAGTTCCGCTCAGCGCTTGATAAACAGACAGGTTTTTTAACTGGATGTGTTATTGTTCAACTTCTGAAAGTCATTTAGTTTCTAAACTTCCTAATCTAGTCAGTTGGATTTTATTTTTAAAAGGCAGCACGAGTCTTATAGTCGGAAATCAGTTTCCATCATTGTGAACTTCAGTTGACATGGCTTGTAATAGTACGTCGTAATTTTGTATGTTCATGTAACTAATATTACTTTTGCTTTTTAGCTACACAACTTTTCCGTTTGCTGGATAAATACCGACCAGAAACAAAGCATCAAAAGGTGAATAGATTGCGAGCACGCGCAGAAGCCCGAGTTGCTGGGAAAACTGAAGAAGTTACGAAGCGCCCACCAGTTGTTCGGTCAGGTGTAAACCATGTTACTAAACTTGTGGAACAGAAGAAAGCGCAGTTAGTAGTTATCGCTCATGACGTCGAGCCTATAGAAATTATTCTCTTTCTCCCTGCACTGTGTCGCAAATTTAAGGTAAGTTCATTGTAGCACCATCTTGTGTGGGATTAGGGTGTTTAAGGATTTTCTATGCTTTCAACCAAATTTATCTCTAAATAGACTCAATGCTTTTAGTCGAAAATCTATTTTAAAAAGTGAAGTTTTTAGGTACCATATTGCATTGTCAAGGGTAAATCACGGCTGGGTCAAGTTGTTCATCGTAAGACTTGCTCTTGCTTAGCAATTGTCGATATAAATCCGTATGTTATTTTATACATATTCATTTCAATGTGCAAAAAATTATTTGTGAAGCATGTTTTCTCACTA